CGGTGCTGACGGTGATACCGTTGTTAAGCCGCAAACACCAGTTACGTCACTTGCCCACCGCGGCACCGACCCCCACTGTCGTTTTGATTTTTTATAGTAATAAAATTAATTTAGTTCAGTAAAAGAACAGATACTACAATTAAAAACGGAACGTGGATGCTCAATGCAGCGTGCCGTACGACAGTTGCATCACAGATCAAATTTAATTTCTCCAGTGGGTGTATTTTTATTCGTTTTGTTAATAAAAGTTCTGTTTTATATATAGGCTAAAGTGAGTTTGACGTTGTATTTTGTTTTTACATTCAAGCAATTGCCGCCGAATTGCCGCTAATTCGATAAAATGTTCGTTTTGCTAATAAACTTTCTACGTTTCTTATTTATTTGGTTATATATTATACGTTTACTTATTTCCAGTTTTGTATACCTGTTTAAACTTTATGTAAGTTATTTGTTATTTTATATTAGGCATAGCCTGCCCTATAGCATGGTGTATTTTTATTCGTTTTGTTAATAAAAGTTCTGTTTTATATATAGGCTAAAGTGAGTTTGACGTTGTATTTTGTTTTTGCATTCAAGCAATTGCCGCCGAATTGCCGCTAATTCGATAAAATGCGTACGCCGCTTTTACAAGCTATTTAAAAGCGAAGGAAAGCAAGGAAAAGAGGGAACGCCCCTGCTCCCACAATGATAGCGGTATTATCGATGTTGTCACATGTCGAGCAACCGTTGGGAAAATTTCCTCACCGTCACAACCCTACTGACTATTGAGTTTATGGACATTGGTTTTCTTGAGGTAAATGTCATATTACATGCCATATTTTTGTAAGCGGTTTTATTGACATTTTTCTGCGGTTGAAACACTGAGCGGTTGCATGAAGTGATGAAAGGTAAGGCATTGTTTCCAATTAAAAGTAACAAAGCACAAAGCGTGTTGTGATTATTCGATGGCAGGTTCTACAAATAATGTTTTGTGAAGTTCACACATCAACAGAAGTTACAGAACTTAAACTGAACGATTGATTTGAGATTCAAGAATCCATATCAGTATCAATTAGGGCTGTGCGATTTGGGGGAAAATATCAAATTGCGATTTTTTTGACAGATATTGCGATTTGATTTGCGATTTTAAATTTGCAAAGTCAAGCTTCAGCTCAATATTGTCAATAATGTGCAGCACAGTATGGGTATCATTACCCTTCTGAAAAAAAACAATAGAAGCCATCACAGAAATTCTTATAGTTTCCATTAAACCATTACAAAATTCCTTTTTGTTTTGGGCATTATTCCAATAGGAATTACTGTTGTTCTATTGGTTGCCATCTGCCAGATTACATCCCACCAATAGAATCCATCAAATAGACACCATTATAGTTTACATCAAAACCAAACAAATTATAACCCATTATAACCCTGAAATCCATTACATTTGTTATTGTGTTTTGGGAGGGGTTCTATTTTTTTTCTTCAGCAGGCAAGATTATAATGATATAACTACTTTTACAGAATTAACTTGATTACTGAATTTCACAGAAAATATTTGTTTATTTTTTATAAATAAAGAACTATATTTCTTAAGTCAATTATTAAAGTATTACATTGATTTATTCATTTTTCAGTATTTGGGATTTTAAGAGCAAGTGGAAAATGTGCGGAATGTTTCATTTCATCCAAGTAAAATTAGCAAGCAGTTAGACTGAATTTACATTCGTTTTAAACGCGGAGCCAGGCGCGAGTCGACACTGGTTGCTCGTGTGCGTCAAGCCTCGTCCATACTGCCAGATGTGCTCGTGGAGACTTGCGGAGCCGGGTGCGAGTATAAACCAGCATTACGAGACAGGCTGCATGAGTGCGGCAAGCATGACGCGGGATTCGCGCCGCGTGGGGCAGAGAGGAGCGAGTATGAGAAGCATTCACAGACACAGGCTGTGTGTGCGCTCTTCTGAATTGCAAATAGCCAACATGCATTATAAACTTATTTCAAATTAATCTGTTGGGGAGATAAAAAGTGTAAGATAACGTTCACGTACTATCAAAAACATCTAAGAATGTATCTTTTATTCTCCAGTACTGAAAACAAAACCCATAAGGGAGCTCTTGATATGTGTTGTGGCACAGCTCTTGCAAATTACCATTTTTGTTCGTTGTCTGTCATTTCGAAGCTTAAGTTGCATACGGTTTTCTTTAGTTTTAATTTGCCTAACTATCAATCTGACCCAGTAGACGCCATAATCCCACTCGGTCTCTCTCTCCCTTCCCGCGTTCCGGGTTTTTTTTTAAGATTGCAACTCAAGGCTTAAATCATGCATATGCTCTGGAACAGATTAATATCGTGTCCACATTGCAGGCTTTGCGATTAATCGGAACGTCTCAAATCGCGATTTCGATTCGATTTCGATTAATCACACAGCCCTAGTATCAATTAAAAACGAGAAATCAGTATTGTTAATCCAGCACAAGCGTCCACACAGCTAACATGTTTACCTGTTGTAGCTTATATATGTTGTGTGCATGAAGTAGTCACTGACATGGTTAAAATGCGCCATTGGAGAAACGCTAATTAGATGTCACATTTGGCCCTCCAAAACCATTTCAGCTTGAAACCGAAAATTGCTGTTTCTGCTGAAAATTCTTTGGTTGCCGAAATTTTGGTGTATCACTATTATCTTTTGTTTTCTGTCTAATATGCATGCATTACAAATATATATGATTTTGAAACAAATGGTTGTTATTGTTTTTAAAGCATGCATTTCAATAATTGCAAAATATATATGGATTAAATACAATATTATAGTATTGTGTGTGTGTCTGTGTATACATACATATACATACGTGCATATATTTATTAATATGCAGAATTGTTGTTATCATAATTATTTATTTAGTTTATTTATTTGCTGGGCATGAGCCTTTTTTCGACCTTCTTTTTATTAGAGAGCAGCTCTCATTGACCGACTGTCATTCATCATTTTTTCTACTCTACTAGCATGTGCCTCTAGGAGGCACTGTTCAGCTGCGCACACGCACACCCTCTGCCCCAGTTCACTAGCGTCCCAAGAGATGTATGAGCATTCCTGTGTGAAATATCAGCAGATGTTTTAACTTGGAACTGCATCACATTTCCCCTCCTCTACATTTCACTGACGTTCTGACTGGTCGCTAGAACCTGTACCTTCCCATGTTGCAGCGAGACTTTCTTCTCCACTAAGACATAATTTTCATTTAACCTCTGAAAACTCTTTTCTCAACTTCTCAATGTGAAGAGCTTAGAAGAGTGATTCCCAACCAGGAAACAATTTTACATATTCTTTGTTAAACCTATAAAACATAAATCAAAACTTAGTGATATTATTTTTTTAAATGAAAGCCTTAAAATCTCATGCTCCTCATTAAAGAAAAAAACAAAAAACTACTTGGGAAGTCTGATTTTCTTCTATAGTATCTGTAGTTTAAAGTCAATTATGGTAATAATGATCACTTTATTATAATAAATAATAATGCTGAATAATATCCAAAATAAAGTAAGTGATTCAGTGTTGATAAATGGGTGTTATTGATGTGGTTTTGGGGGTAAGCAAATAATAATTATTATTATTTTTACAAACCTATTCTCAATTTACAAAGAATAAAATGAATGCAAAAAGCTCAGCAGCAACATAACATAAATATTTAACTATGCGCTCGGTTCACCCAAAAATTTAAATAAAAGACTATTTTGAGAAATGTCTCAAATGTGTTTTTGACCATATAAATTAAAGTCAGTTGTAACCGTCTGGCTTTGTTACCAACATTCTTCAAAATGTTTACTTTTATATTCCACAGTAGAAAGTTAGTCATACAGGTTTGAAATAACACAAGAGTAAGTGAATGTTGACAGAACTTTTAGTTTTGGTTAAACTGTCCCCCTTTAAAGCTGTTATTTGGCATGCTGTTTGGACTTTTAAGACCTCCAGAGAACAGGTTACTTTTTATATAGACTAGTAAAAAGCACTATCCAGGCTCACTGTATAAAACAAGATGAACGACTAGTGGGTGTGGGCAGGCTAACAAGACTGAATTGAGTGTCCATATGGGAACTATAGTCATCAGCCATAGTAATAAACAGATCTGATTTTATTGTGTTGGCATAAGGATCACCGCTGGCGTCACATTAGCCTTGAGGATTTCAGAGAGGAAATCCGTGACTCACTAATTCAGAGCAGAAGTGCGCTTCAGCACATCAGTGGAGCCGCACAGTATGTGGCATTTATGAATGCACCACAAATTCATTTTGAATTCATGACATGATGCATCTAAAGGTGCTCCAAACACACAGGTTCCTCTCATCCAGGTGCTTGTCACATCGGATCTTCTGTGATTGTTTGTGATCAGTATGTATGTTGCATGCGCAGATATATGGTCAAAAAAAACTGAAAAATTGACTTCAGAGTTGACTTTAAATACAAATGATAGACTTGTGATCAAAGTGTTTAAGTCTATAAAGATAAATATTTTCTCTGACTATCATGACAATGTTTAGATAAAAAGAGTATTTTGTGCACCCCCCCCCTCCCTCTGGTTTTCCACAGCAGTGTTTTAACATGATGACAATAGCTGTTTTAATAGCCAGAGGTTTAAAGACATTGATGTCAGACCACGCAACCAGCATGCAACCTCTGTTTTTAAAAATGCTCGTCTCTGTTTTATTGAGTGAGCATTTACAGAAAGAAAACATGTCTAAAATTGTACATTGTGAAGCTGACAGCAGTTGATATAATTGGTCTCTGACTGCAAGGATCATTTTAAAAGCCTAAACCGTAACAAAGAAAAAGCAAAAAGTAGTGCAATGGAAAGTAATATATTTTCATAGTTACATGAAATACATTTTTTTGTATTTTATTTTTTGTTTTTTGCATCTGCTACATCAAAATGGAGCAGGCTGGCTGTACACTTCAATATTATATTTTTCATTAATCTGCAATACACTGAACAGCCACAACATTAAAACTACTGACAGGTGAAGTGAATAATCGATTATGTCCTATAACATTGCATTTCATGTGTTGGAAGCAGGAAAAATGGTCGAAAAAGGGCTAAATACTGATGGCTAGAATAGATGATTTGGGTCAGAGCATCTCCGAAACAGCAAGTCTTGTGGGGTGTTTCCGGTATGCAGTGGCTAGTACCTAGAAAAGTGGTGCAAGGAAGATCAGGTGGCCCAAGGCTCACTGATGCACGTGGGTAGCAAAGGCTAGCCCGTCTGGTTGGATCCCACTGAAGAGCTTGCTGTAGCTCGAATGGCTGAAACCGGCAGGCCGGTTGTTATTTTAAACCTTACCACCTTCCTAGACATTGTTGCACACCACGTACACTCCTTAATGGCAGTGGTCTGTTTCAACAGGATAATGCACCCCACCACACTGCCGAAATTGTTCAGGAATGGTTTGGGGGGGACATGGCAAAGAGCTCAAGGTGTGCTGCCTTGGCCTCCAGAGCATCTGTGGGATGTACTGGACCAACAAATCCGATCCATGGAGGCCCCACCTCGCAACTTGCAGAATTTTATTTAATGTCTTGGTGCCACCACAGGACACGTTCAAAAGTCTTATGCCTCAAAGTATCAGAGCTGTTTTGGCAGCACGAGTGGGACCTACACTGTATTAGGCAGGTGGTTTTAATGTTGTGGCTGATCAGTTTATATATTTCTATAGAATTATTTAGTATTTATGTATTTATTTATATTTTACTGGTAACAGCTTATGTTATTCTGATTGATTTGAACTAGTTGAACAAATGTGTCATAAATATTGCACAATTTAATTATAAACAACAGACAGCACATACATTTAATAAGGTAATTCTAAAGGTAAAAAATGCCTCTGAAAGTCAGTCCCGGTGGGCAAATATTGGCCCTTTATGGAAAAGTAAATTTCTGACCATGTTTTGCATTAAAGTGAGTAAAAACTGTATTGTCTGGTGAGTTTTTGGTTTTGTGCTTGATGTGAATAGGCCTTAAAAGTGAGTGTGGTTTAAAGTAATTTACAGGTACAATTATATCATGTGGCATGTTTTCATTATGCTTCCCATCTAGTAAGAGATATGTCATAATAAACACCAGAGCGCTTATCCGTACACGTTGTGGGTCCTGAACCCCTCAGCATCATATTCAGTATTCAACAAGCGTTCACTTTCTTTTGGAGGTTCCTGGAGCTCGGTAAAATTCTCCAGTGGTTGTATTGTAATGAGACATCCCAGGTGCTTTGCTGTTGATAACTCCCAAGTCTAGAGGCCCAATACACCTCAAAGCTCCCGAACTGATATTTCTTATTTAGGCTAGGCAGCAAACACCTGCCATAGGCATATTTAATTGTGTGCGCACATGTGACAGTCTTCATCTGGAGGTGGGGATTGTATGTAAACCGCAGCTGCACTGTATTTCTTAATATTTAGCAACATGGGAGCAAAGTTGCTTGTAATCTTTCTTCTAGCTAATGAAACGGCACAGAACAATCGTCTTCTGTTAAACAGTGATATGAGCCGCTGTGTATTGTGAGGAATTAGCACCATTTTTTTCTCACCGGTCTTTGTTGAAAAGTTTCTTCAAATTGTAAGTCCAAAAAAAAAATTAAGTCTGCTTGGATATATAAAGATGATGGATTGGCTTTGCTCACTGCACCAATGGTAGCAATTTGTTTCAGGTAATTTTGAGTCACTTTGGGGATTTATTTGCTAATAAACCTTGTCGCTCTGCTGTAAAGATACACGTAGTGCGAAGATGATTTAGAAAAATGGCATGTGTGTTTTTTTTTCCCTCCACTTCTTTTCGGGACATTTTTCTAGTATGTTTTCTGTCTTACGTTGTAAATTAGTTTGCATTTATTGAGTGCTAGAGTGAATTCACAACGTAGGAGAAGAATAGATTAAATAAATCTTCATCAATGGGAGAAATCGAACTAACCTTGAGCTCTGTGAAACTGGGATGAGAGCTTTAATGACAGTGCTATAACAGCCTCGCTCTCAGTATTTCATGTCAAACAAAGCATTGACGTACAGAGGCCGAAAGTGCTTTATCAGGCACTTCACATAACTTAGGCCCTGTTTACAGCTGTTATTAAGAAACATCTCAGGCAAGAAGGTCTGTAATACCCTGAGAAAAACATCCGTTTGCATTCACATTCATCTCAGTACCAGCACATCTATTTTGTCATATTAATGATATTGCTGTTTACAAAATTGTTTTTATTTTAATACACTTTTGAATGGCTGTCAGTGGAGAAAGCTGCACTTTTCAGCCAGATGGTGGCTAACAGGACCACACTACATGTTTTGCCTTTTTTTTATTATTAATCTATATATTTTTTTGGTTTGGATTTGTCTTGTCTTTTCCTATTGTTTTGTTAATTAGTTTTTTTTTGGTTTGTGTTTTGTTTTACTGTTTTGTTTTCAATCCTTTCCATCATAAAGATAAATATTGACATGGTGAATAGGAATTTTGACTTGTAGGAGTCTAACTGTACACATTAGGGCTGTGTATCACCAGTCAAAGTCACAATACGATACGTATCACAATACAGAGGCCACGATACGATACGTATCACGATACAGGACTGCACTGAATTTGACCTCAGAAGAATTTAGTAAAACACAAACTTATCAGCGCTGCCCCACAATTTTATCAATAAAATAGCTTAATCGCTCAAGAGCTACATTATCTTTCTCAACAAGGAGCTGGTAACATCATTGTATCGAAAGGAATTAAAGCCACAGCTTCGCTGTTAATAGAGAAACACGGCAAAATGGTGGTAATTCATACACAGCCTCTCTCTCTCTCTCTCTCTCTCTCGCAAATAAACACTTGATGAATTACATTTTTCTGATAATAGAATATAGAAGTGGAGATCGCTAAACTGCAAGCTAATCTGTGTTTTCAGAAAGCATGGGCGTTTATCCACAGTGGAGAGAGAGCATATAAACACTTGATGAATTACACTTTTCTGATAATAGAATATAGAAGTGGAGATCGCTAAACTGCAAGATAATCGGTGTTTTCAGAAAGCACGCGTGTTTATCCACAGTGGAGAGAGAGCGTGTACACATGGTTGCCAGGTTGACAAAGATAAGTAACACACTTAGCAGATATTTCCGTATTGCGCAAGTGGCAAGCTCTGTGTAGAGGATTACGTATCCTCTGCGGCCAGATTATATTTTGTTGTAGCCAATATATTATGCCTTCCAAATATACTTGCATTTATAACCTAACCTCATTTTGGGTAAATTAAAATTTGGCTCATTATGAGTTTAAATATTTTTTTAGCACAATGGTTGACTGACAAGTGAGAAAGCAATCCTTTGCTGTGCAGGGGTTTTTTTTTTGACATTTTTTGCCTTTATTTTGATAGGACAGTGAGTAATGACAGGAAGCAAAGTGGGAGAGAGAGAATGGGTGGGATCGGGGAAGGTCCACAAGCTGGGATGCCCGCAGCACAGTGGCACTATATGTCAGTGCCCACCATGCTGTTGGTGCTGACCAGTGCACAGATTTGATTCGTTTTTAAAGGGCACCTATTATGCCCCTTTTTACAAGATGTCTCAGGTGTCCCAAGAATGTTTCTGATATTTCACCTCAAAATACCTGGCTTTTGGTAGTTGTTGATAATTTCACCTGTTGCTAGGCTGTGTTAGCAAGTCTGTATCATGCCATATAAATGCACAAATAACAACAACAAAAAACCCTCATGCTATTGGAAAGTTTAAATGCAAATGAGCTGCTGCTCCCCGCCCCCTTTTCCAGAATAGGGCGGTGATTTTACAGCTTGTGTTTGGTTTTGATTATCATGTATATCACGATGAAATCATGCATTTTAAAGCCATATCAGTTTAAACTTCTGATATAGTGTTTTCTGACCGCGCATATCCGAAGCACGCACACAGAAAACGGCTGTCACATGGTATGTGAGTACTAAAGTAAGTTCTTTCATGTCTTATTGCGCTTACTGTCAAATACACAGAAGTTTATGTTTAAAACACACATTAGTTACACAGTCGGTTATGTCTGTGAAGGTGGGAAAGACAGCTGAGAAAGAAATCGCATGTTTATATTAGATCTGTGTATTAAGTGACAGCGGCGCCGTGGGTGGAAGCATGCAGATTAAGGGGCGGATATATTATAATATGATCCCTTTCCTGCATCACTAGGGGAGCGAAATCTGAGCGGCTCATTTTTTCACATGCTTGCAGAGAAAGGCTTACCAAAACAAAGTTACTGGGCTGTCCTTTTTCACGTTTTCTGGGTTGGTAGATGCACCGGGGACCCGATTATAGCACTTAAATGCGGAAAAAGTCAGATTTTCATGATATGTCCCCTTTAAACATTTTAGATCAACTGTGCCTATATTTAGCACAGACCGCTTGTGATCAGATTACCCAAAACGTTTATTAATATCAAGTGCAAATACAGTTTAATCATCTAATGTCTAATCATCATAGAACCAGGAGTGAGACACGGTCGAGTGTGAACACTTACACTGTAGTATATCCATTCAAGTTAGACCAACAATTTAAAAAAAAACTTTCCCTGACCTCAATTTTGGGCGAGGGCAACTGCCAACGAATAGCTCCGCATCCTCACTGCTTGTCTTCAATTGTGATGATTTTCTCTGTCAGTTTCAGAAGTTGATGTTAGCCACACACATTTGTTGGGCAAACGCTATGAGTTCATCGCTTGACTGTAAATTCTGAGTGTAGGTAAAATGTTCAAGTTTCTGTCGAGAGGTTACACTTAGTTTTAAAGTTTACTTATTTTACTGTATCAAATTATTTTGGAGAGGAAGGAAATAATTAGGTTGTACTGACTCCTCCATCTGACCTCTAGCACAACATAAACTGCTGCTTCTGTTAATGGTCTTGTCACGTTTTGTATAGTGTTCTCAGTGTGGTCAGTAATGATTGGATTATGTAGGATTCATTATGACTTTAGAGGTTATATCTTAAGGATTAGAATAAAAACGTCAGTTTCCATGGTAATTTAGCAATTACTATACATTCTTAAGTGCAGGATATGCTTCTCTTAATGAACCTAATTTGAACATGTGCGCACACAGACGATTATTGCGGCTGGTCCTTCACTCTGGCTTTTGGTAGTTGTTGATAATTTCACCTGTTGCTAGCTTGCACAATTGGTGGCTGACTAAATACTTTTTTGCCCCACTGTATCAAATTGCAGTCTGCTGATTGAGGTAGTAGAACTGTGTGCTTTTGTTGCTTTTGAAAATGCTTTTTTTTTTAAAGCAAGGATAATACATCAGTGGCGTGTGATGGTGTCTGAAATGAGGAGGCAAAGACACCTCTCTTGGAGATTTTTTTTTCTAGTGTTCCAGTTCCATGTGAAGTTTATATTTAAGTATGTAATATTTAAATATAATTTGATTTAAATGAATACAATTATAATTTTTAATAGCAATGTACTTTTTAATATAATTGAATTATTTGTAAATTGTTTATAAACATTATTAATGAGCGATTATTTTCATTTATTAATGCGATTTATGGATGCAAAAGAGACGCTAAATCCTTATTAAACTTTATCCACTTGTAATCTCATATTTCCATAAATTTCCTTCAGAAATCCTAAAAAGTAGAGACTATTTTTTAAGTCTCTTATGTTCACCAAGGCGGCATTTATTTGATCAAAAATACAATACAAATAGTACTATTGTGAAAAAATAACTGGGATCTATTTAAATTTATTTAAAAATGTAATTTATTCCTGTGATAGCAAAGCTGAATATTCAGCATCATTACTCCAGTCTTCAGTGTCACATGATCCTTCAGAAATCATTTTGGTTAAATTTCTAAAATGTGAATATATTTTTACTGTCAGTTATCTTTATTATTATTATTTCATTTTAGTTTTCTTTTGAGGAGATGCAGACTTTTTTAGGCAGTGCCCCTGCAATAAATGCAGTTGTCTGCAATGTAGTGTTAATTTCGTTAACGAAAACAATGACACAAAAATGTTCGTCAATGAGGTTTTTTCCCCTGACGAAAATGAGACTATGATGAGACTATAATAAGGTCATTAAACGATAACTGAGATTAGATGAACATGCAATGTTGTTGATGAAAAAATACGAGACTAAAATGTAGTTAAAAGAACAAAAACTTTTAATTTTTGTTGAAAAAAGTGGAGCCAAAACATTTCAGACTGCTGTACAAGACTCTAATATGTGACCCTGGACCACAAAACCAGTCATAAGGTAAAAAAAAAATTTAATTGAGATTTATACATAATTTGAAAATAAATAAGCTTTCCATTAATGTATGGTTTGTTAGGATAGGACAATATTTGGCCGAGATACAACTATGTGAAAATCTGGAATCTGAGGGTGCAAAAAAATCTAAATATTGAGAAAATTGCCTTTAAAGTTGTCCAAATGAAGTCCTTAGCAATGCATATTACTAATCAGGGTCACATATGCGAGCGTTCATGTTTGTGGTTGCCAGATATCAAGACCTCAAATCCCCCAATCAGAGCTTTTCTTTTAAACGGATATGTACGGCAGAGTTTTTTGCTTTATGCAATCTGGCAACCATTCACTTTCTGAAGAAATGTAAAAATAAATTTCCCAAATGACAGCAATCATTGCAATTAAAACTGAGCAAAATACAAATTTTTTTCTCCATCATTTTAACCATTATACAGTAAGACGAAAATATGATAAAAATGTGTAAGTTTCCACTGACTAAAACTAGACTAAAATTCTCAGACATTTAGTCGACTAAAACTTGACTAAAATTAAACGGGATAAGTTGACTAAATATGATAAAAACTAAAAGTTACATTTGACATAGCACTAAGACTAAATGAAAAATAGCTGACAAAATTAACACTACTGCAATGCAGTGTGCAAAACCAAATGGGAATGTGTGATGTATTAACAACGTCGTTTGCACTGTGCTCTTGCGTTACTTGATCTTTTTATTTTGGTGCGTCAGTCTGTTGAGTTACTTAGTATAAGAAATTTGGATCCGCACTCACGAGAACAATCTTCTTTTTTCTTTTATTTTACATTCATTACTGATGGGAAAAGACACAAACGTTTCAGCTCAAAGCCTTCCTCAGTGTGTAAAGCAATTCAATCCTTCCACCCACTTTTCAAATCACTAATTATATTGACGTCATCATTCATTAGCCAATGTTCAATTACCACAATCATTAAATCATTTCCGCTTAAACCCTGGACAATTTACATATATCCAACACAAAACATCACATCCACTAGTACACCTCACAATATACCCGTGACTAAAACAATAGTTATTTAGGATCACCTATTTATCACTATTATACAAACCTATAGTTTATCCTATCAATCATCAATATCTACTCCAATTAACTTTAAATAGTATAACAATGGAAAATTCAATAATTAAGAACATCAGAAATACAGCGTCATAAACCATCAGTTTTACACACTGTAAATACTAAATTTATTATATAGAATATTAAAAATGAATACAACCAACCATAGTTCATTAAAGAAAGACAGAAAGATCTAATTCCTCATTCATGCCATTTGGGTTCAGTGATTTAAGTTTATGATTTATGAATGTGTGATGTATTGAATTCCCAAGGTCACTTTTCAAATGCTTTGTTTTATTGTCATGTCCATTGTGGACACATTCTATTACCTGCATTCTCCAGCCATCAGTTTGCTCTAGATGCTCTGCCTGTAGCAATAGGTCAGGTGTGTGTTTGTGCCTTCTGCAACCATATGGCTATTGCAGTGGTGTAAATGATGTGCCACAAGTGCAAGACCAAAGTATGTCCAGGGAAATACAGTATACTGTGATCTCAAGCTCATGTGTTAAAGCATCACAGATTAATATGATCCTGTTGAATTGAATTTGACTGAAAAAAACGTTCTGTGAACTCAATCGGAAGTCATTATTGATTGCTTGTAAGAAGGTGTGTGGTATGAATATAGATGTTGTTTTTATGTGAAATATAGTAAAATAAATATTGATATTGCTTTGGGATCTTGCTCGTGGAAACCTACAGAACAGGCAGTATAAACAGTAATGCAACACCTTTGAGTTCTGATGTAATGTGTAGAAATGCACTTTCCAAGTTAACATCGCTTAATTATTCTACTTTTTTATTCTTCCGGATTGTTCCTACAAAGTAGAGACTAAAACTTAATGCTCTGTTGTTGAATAAAAGTGAATTTATAAAAAAAATAAATAAAATAAACTTTAGAAATATGTGTTAAAGCGATAGTTCACCTACGTTTTTTTTTTTTTTTTTTTACATTCAGTCACACAGGAGAAAAGAAAGGCATACAGGTTTGGAAGACATGAGTGTGCATAAATGATGATAAAGCATAATTTTTTCAGCTTTTATCCTATATATTAATGTATTGGATAAAATATTAACCTTACAGTGTATTTTGAATTTTTCTTTCATTTTTGACTACTATAAATTAGGGCTGGGCAAGTTAACGCGTTATCGCATTAACGCGTTAATTGATTAACGCCGACAATTATTTTATCGCACGTTAATGCAGTTTTTTTTATTATTATTAAAGTCCGTTGCTCACTGGCTCTGAATATACATACAGAAAAACTATGGGTCACAGGAGGGGGTGGGATGTTGATCATTACTGGCTTGGGATGGGTGTCATTACACGTCTCAACCAATGAGAGCATTTGGGGTGGGCCTAAGACTGCAGCAGCGCTCACATGAATGCTCCCGATAAAATTATTTAGGCTAAGCATCAACATTCAGGAACCACTGTCCACTGTTATTTTCAACAGAAAATAATGCAACGTGCTCGTAATCACGACTTCATAAGTGGTAAATAGGAAGTTTCCGATAGCACGTGAAGACCGCAAAGAAGCGCTTTCGCACAGCACAGTGGAGTGCATCGTTTTGTTAACTTTGTGGTTTATTATTTTGAGTTGTTTGGGACGCGGTAACACATGGCCCTCTCACAATATATTGCTTTACAGACCTATCACTCTTGCTGCTCAGAAATGTTCACGCAATCATGCAGCATGTATCAGAAGATCCGCGCTCCGGCGCGGTTAGCGCTCACACTCACTGATCTATATATAACTGAACCTTGCTCTGGCCCACCTCTTCCAACTGAGCCAGGGACAGCTAAACGAACCGCGGCACGGAGCGATCACACTAGTCAAACGAACCGGGCTTTGGGGGTCAAACGCGCTCGGGCACGGTTAAGATTGCCTAGTGTGATACACCCTTATTCTCCCGCATCCCGCACACACGAGTCTCTACCCGCTCATCAAGTGCTGTCCCGGGCCGCACTCTGCTGCGTTGGGTCCCGTGATCGTGCAGGTCTCTAAGGTGCCTGTTATAATGTTATGATGAAGGCTCTGGACTCTGAGCATAACTTGTTTTTCTATAACAAACTATAAAATATTTTCTATAAAAACGTTAATGCCCTGGCAGTGGCAAATAGCTTGTTTTATATTTAATTTGATTACATTAATGTTATAAGTTGAGATTTACAATAAATATTGCTTACATTAGATCCTTATATTTACAATAACTGCTACTATGTAAATATAAGGATATAATGTAAGGAATACTGCTGTAAAAAAAAAAACCTTATTTGTTTAAAGTGTTTGCAAACCAAATGTTATTGCGCTTTTGTTCAAATAGCAGTACTTTTAAATGAAAAAAGTGCACAATACACTACTTTTGAATGCATTATTGAATTTTGTGCATAATGCGATTAATCGCGATGAAACTTTTTAATCATTGCCCAGCACTACTATATAAATATAATCCAACATTTTTTCCCAAACAAACTAGTCCTAACTAGCAATTGAGTGATGGCTTAACGTTGGATAAATTTGTAGGGCTGGACCAGAATATTCGATTATTCGAATATTCGTTCGGTGGGTTGTCATTCGATTTTCAATTTTGAGATTCGAATATTCCTTTTTTTTTGTCTTTTTTTCGAACACCTGGCATCCCACGCGAAACAGTTCTCATTCGTGCTTGAATATGAATCGTCCATGAGTGAACGTCATGAACGTCATAATTCAGTTCATCTGAAAGAGAAGACAAAAATGCTGAAGACTTCAGCTGTGTGGGAGCACTTTAAATTGAGTGAGGACAAGACAAAGGCAGTGTGCCAAATATGCGATTTGAAACTGCCCTACCACAACAGCACATCAAGTTTGAAAAATCACCTGAGTTCTGTAAGTAATACGCCTATAATATATTGTTGGTGTAAAAAAACGAGCTGCTTTTATCCGCCATGTTAATCCGTAATTTTACACATGATAAAAACGTGCACTTAATTTGCTTGGAAAATACTTTACGAATATGGCAGTCATAAAAAAAGTACAGTAGCCCAGCCTAATAGTATTTATTACAGTTCGTTGAACCTCATTCATTTATTTTTCGTTCTTCTTTTATTTAAATAGCCTACCCTTTACGCTGTCAGTAATTACTGTGCTGCTAATTTCTGATTTGGGAGTGATTTTTTTTGTTCGAAAAATGTTAGGCTACTTTTTTAAAAGTATTGCTCTTCACAGACCTGTGTGTTTTGTATCACTAGTGCAGTGTCTGTTCTTGGAGCATATAAGCCCTGCCCGCGTGAGTCGCGCCGCTTCCGGCTCGCGCTGTTCTGTAGTTTATTAAAAGTGTATTAATTCTGAACGTGTCGCATGTCCATATTGCAACAAAATGCGATACTGTCCGCAGCAACACACCCGCCACGCGTGAAGTCGATTGAATGAACGGTTCTCGACATAATAAAAATGCAAACAGACAGATAGACACACAGAGATTCCTGCCTTTATTAGAGAGAAGAATATGTTCAGCCCCCTCCCTCCAAAGCTTTGAATATTCGGTGTTGATTACTACCGAAGCTTCAAAGCTCAAAAAAGGGTATTCAGACCAGCCCTATAAATTTGTAGCCATGTTATTTTTGACACTTTCATACATACATTTTGACTTTCTAATTTTGATGTTCATTGAATGTTTAACTATAGAAAATGTTACACAAATCAGGCTTTCAGACATTTGGTAAGAGGGTTGCATACCTCCATATTTTTCCCCCTAAGGTTTAAGCACCTCTTTTCACTGATCATGCTTGACCATGTTGAAAAGGGAAGAAAATATTATTTTCACACCCATTTTTTGCACCCTCTTTGTGTAAAGTGCCATATCCGACTTTCTGTAAGATGTCCAGAAACGGGTCATAAATTTGCACTTTTCGTGCATCTCTCATGGGCATTCAGCCAGGCACGTTGCCATAGTGACAAGAAGGCCAAGCCCCAGTCAGTGTAGCTGTGTATCTGTTCCTGGTATGGACTGCAAATTGCTTTCTTTTCAACCTCACTGTGACATACACCTTCTGTAATATGATGGGAGATTATGATGCTTTTCTCCATAAAGTGCATTTTAAGTTAATTTCTCAATAACACCTGCCTTAGTGAGTTCTGCATTAATATTTGATTGTAATATAATTGTAGTTTCTCTCAAGTGTAGTCATCATTATGTTCTTTCCTCCAAATGCCATTTATCATTATGAAAAGTCATTTATTATGCAACTCGTATATGTAATTAATGCTAATCTTTCATCATCTGCTATGCAAACAGAAAACAGATTGAGTTTTTGTTCTTGTCAGGCAGTTCCTCTGAAGTGCTCTTCAAGGAAAGCGTTATGTGCCGCAGTCTTTGATGATGTGCTTGCATCCTCTCTAGTGATTTTCTTCGTACTTTAGGTTGTTTGATTGGCCAGTTTGCAAAGTGTTTTTTTAATATTATTATTATTATTATTTTTGTTGTTGTTCTGAGATGTTGCTAGTTTTGCTGTCCCCGTTATTAAGATTTATGTTGATGCCGTAATGCCTTAAATAATTTAAGCTTTAAAAGAATCACTGCCCTTTAGAAATATCTGGGTGCTGCTGAGTGAACATTAATGTTATCCGTTTATTAACGCAAAATAAACCCCTTCAGGTTTATAGATGATTACACTGTCAGGATTAATTTTTTAACTAACTGGCTGTACATTATTCTGCCAATTTACATGGCTTTTTAGCAAATGAATAAATACATAAATACATGGATTGAGTGGAGAGTGTGCATATTTATATATAATGTATTATTACTAATTTAGATTCATTCTTAAAATTACAATCCAAGCAACGTATCCTGTGGACCTGTTAGCTAACATTTTTCACAATTTTGTATGCCTTCCCATATTTTCACGGGGACATCGGATGAAATTTTCACTTTTTTTTTTCTTTTTTTTTTTGCATTTAGTTAGGTTTGGGTTTGTCTGCCAGCTCAGAAAAACTGAAAAGAAGACACACAGCCAGTTCATTATGGACTGTCTGAGTCTGAAACTGTCTTCCAGCAGTCGTCAATTTGCAGCCGGTTTCTACATAGATAGCTAGCTATTTGAATGTGACCACCTCTGAGCCATATATGGATTCTTAGGCAGCAATTCTTGTGTCGACACGCCTAATGGGAAGAGCGGGGTGGGGTGAACAGTAGCTCAATATCATTTAAAGAGATATGCACCGAATTGATTCACTGTAAACAGAGCTGTTTTTGACAAGGTAAAAAGGGTGTTGTTTTATACAACCATTGAGGAATTTTAACTAAAGTAGCCAATGTTACAGACATACGATCATGATCCTCATGTCACATTGTAGGATCTCAGCTGTCTTTTTAGGATTTCCAAAATGTGTCCCAGACGGCCAAATCGTGGCCAAAATCGTACAGTGTGCACCCAGATTTATGAAAAACTATTTTGGGTAATCCTGCAGCTTATGCACATTAGTAGCATTGGGTACTGGCTAGTGGTCGACCGATATTGTTTTTTTTTGACAGCTGATGCCGATATCTTGGAAAGCCAGGGTGGCCGATGGCCGATATAAAGCCAATATAATTTTATTTACTGTATTGTAATTAATGTTTAAGAAATTTGAAATAATTTGAAAATGGATTAAAAAGTAAATGTTAAATAAACTACGTATACTTTAGATGACAAAGTATTGTTCACAAATAAATATATATTTAATAAAAAAAAGGAAGTAAACACTGTAACCAACAGGGCACTCAGTATTCTGGGAAGAATTGGATTTGGGATTTGGGAATCATATTCTTTTAAATAAATCCAAGGTAACACTCATTTTACATACATCACACAGTGGAAATGACATGAATATGACAGCGGGCAAATGCATGAAGCGCAGCATAATTTGAAATCACGAGTTTAAAGTTTGTTGATCGCGCGTCTGCAGTGAAACTGAACTCTCCTCCTGTCAGCATTCAATTCACACGGACCGACCATCACACAGAGAACATGCGATCATGCAGGATACAAATGCTCACTTCACAAGATCTCACAACTGGATCCGACTAAGTTTGCAAGCTTTGTGAAATTAAGTGTTAATTAGTCATTCAAAGATTTGTTTAAATGATATAAATGCGTATTTGCTGAATGCTGACGGCAAACAAGAAAGTATTATAATGTTTGCCTTTCTATTACTAATAATATAAAAGCAATCGTTATAATACTTTTTGTATAAATTAATTCCTTTGTTTAACCATTCTATCTGATTATTAGACAGAACTGTTAACGACGACGGTGAACAAGAGGGAGAATGTGAGCACTGTGCTCACAGCGCCGATGTCAGCACCGTCAAAATAAAAGTCTGTTGTGCCATCAAAATAAAAGTCCCGCCTTGAACGCATCAGCCAAACAGGAAAACTTATCGACCAATGCCGATATTTAAAAAAAAATGCAAAATATCGACCGATATATCGGTCGACCACTAGTACTGGCTTTATCTGTCTTTGGTGCAGCAAAATAAAAGTAGCATAGTGGGTGCACCAAATCAAAGATGCACTGAAGCAGCAAAGACTTCAAGCATATCTGCCAAATAGTTCAATCATATCGTACCTCTGAACGCCCCCCAAAAAACTGTCACCAAATGCTAATTTAACCCCTGTTATTGTGCTTCTGTTTTTTTAGCTGGCATCAAGCATCTATAGTTTCGCCTGCTCTTTGTGGAATCATCACACAGACACATTCCTACAGCAGATCTACACAGGAGACCAACAGACTTCTCTTAGCTCCCTGGAGCGTACTCTGCTCTCTCTGAAAGGTACACACACACACACACACACACACAACAGTGCTGAAACTTAAGGCCTTAAAGGCCTTAAAGGCAAAATATGTTTTGAAATGAAGACATTAAATGAAATGGTGACCCCTGATATACATTTTCTCTTTAACTATTCATGTAAATCCTAGTAAAAGTGAGTGAAATAATTATTGTGATTACCGATCAGTGAACTAAGCATACATATTTGAATTAAAGTGCCCCTATTATGCCATTTCTAATACTGCCTTTCATGCAGTGTGTAATGTAACTGTATGTGAATCTAAACGATCTTCAAAGTTGTAAAGCTGAAAGTGCACGATAAATAAAGTTATCGTCTCCCAAAATAAAGAATCGACTGAACAGCCTAAACGAGTCGTCAGTAATTCGAATCCCACTTCTTTGACTGCTACATGTCACTGGGTAACACATTTGCATAATGGTTATGCATATTATTTGGTTCTAAGTTGGCCGGCTGCGAACGACTTGACCTGCTCTGAAACACTGTAGCTTGTTCATGTCGAGAAGACACATGTCCTATGCTGTGAAAGTAAATTTGTTTTATTTTCCTTTCTAAAAGATTAGGCTCCAAAGAATCAGTGGTTATAATTAATTTTTTTCCACTGTACCACAGCAGTACAACCCCAATCTTTTTTTGTGTTCCCGTCATTTTACTGATTACTGTTTCTCTAATCTCGGGGAGTTCAATGCGGGATTAACAAAGCGCTTGCTCTTGAAAGATGGCTCAGTACCCAGTTTATTTGGACCAGCTGACTCCACTGAAAAACCTGTAAGTATGATAAATGAAAGAAAAAAAATTCTATTGA